GTTGCTTAAAATCACAGTCCTTTTGGAGGGGAGAGAAAGGATGTGTGTGTCTAAGGCATGGTCCTCTGCCTCTTGAGTTTCACAATGAGACTGTGTCTCAAAGTCAAGATTCTCCTGCATTGGCAGGAGAGTTTCCATTTCCTGTTGCCTGGCAGGTTAAAGGACGGGGAAGTTTTCCCAACTCCCCACTCCACCCCTTACCTTAGCCCAACCTCTTTGCACTAGGAGGGCCTGGCTGTGATTTTCCATACCTTCAGTACAAAAGAGCTCTCTGTTTCTTAACCTGCTCATGTCCCATGGCCCAGTGGGCAGTGGACGGAAGATGGGTGGGGGACTGTCCATGCAGGGTAGAAAAGGCAGAGACAGCTGTGTCTGGCTGGCTCCTCTGCTTTCTGACATATCTTGGTAGCGATGGCAAGGGTGGCGAGTGGTCCGGGGGGAGGGGCACTGGCCATATATATCAGGCTCCCCCACCTTTCCCACACACTACTTGGGATCCTCTTTGTATAGCATCCCTTTGATCTCCAAATGGGGACCTTGGCAACCAGAGCCCCTGGTGTAACTGGCGTGGTCTGAGATCTGAGTCAGGGAGTCTGGGGCATGGGAAGTCTGAATTTTAAGACAAAATGCCCTTTGCATCTTGCCCAGTGGTTTCGAGGTTGTGGTCTTGGCTCTTGTTTCTAATTGTGACTCAGTCTTCCAGTGGGGTTTGAGTCTGGGATTTGGAAGCCATTGAGGCAGAAAGCTCCCTCACCTCACAAAGAGTACCATCCATCCCAACATGCCTGTGCTGGTTTGCTGGTAGATTTTGTACAATTTATTCCAGAGAGGATGGAGGCCAGCTGTTGTCTGTCTCCAGCCGGAGACTGAACCAAAGGAAATGGGCTTGGACTGCAGCCGGAGGGATTTAGGTTAGAGTCAGAGAATAAGGAAGGATTTTGTGACAGGTGGTTGGCTCTCAGAAGGATCCTGCAAGGAGCTTTGTGGAGAAGGATGGGGGCAAGATCGTACTTGGAGCACAGGTGGATGAGAAAACAAGCCCCTCAGACAAGCTTTTTGGAGCCAGGTTTGGGTGGGAAGGGGTGGTTTGTAATAAACAGGCAGGAAGTTACTTCTTGGGAGTAGAGTAACTCAGCTGCCCCATCCCCAGTGCAGTATTAGTGCCACCGCCCAGTACCCCTTTGGACTTTTCTTTTTTAATTAGTGAAGATGTTTACAGTTTAACCACTGGGCCATCTTAAACATATTGTAATATATGGGTAGGTATAATAATCGCTTATCATCAGAACCCAAGCCCTCAAGGAAGGGCAGTGACTTATTACCCCAAGCTGCCAGCTACAGGCAAAGAGAGCAGGGAAAGGAGGCAAGAGCAGGGGGAGGCCTCTGGGTTGGGGGAGGTTGCCAGGTTGTCTGGAGGATTCGGAGAGGTAGGAGATGGGGTCGTGTCAGCCACAACCCTTCTCAAGGATACAGGTATAACCTGGAGGGATGAGTGTGTCAGGGATCAGGAGCAGAGAGGCAGGAGTCTGGGGATGTTGTGCGAGGGGGCCCACGGCAAGCAGCTGTGTCCAGGGGAACATGACTGGCAGCCTCTAGGTCCCAGGAGCTTTGTGGATCAGAGCGTCCTTGCTCCCTGTGCTGGGAGAGCAGGAAGGTGTGCATGGGAAGACCTGCAGCCACAGCGCCTACAGCGCCTTCGAATACCTTGACCTCCTGTGGCCCTCCCACCCATCTGCACCTGCCTGCCTCCTGGCTGTGGAATCCAGATGGTTCCAAAGTCTGGAGGGAGCTGATTCACCAGTGCTGGGACTGCTGGGGGCTTTGGCCTTGCAGGTGGGCAGGGTGGGGAAAAGGCAGTAGGGCCTGGGAACAGTCATGAACCTGTGCTGGGCCTGCACCTGTCAGGGCTCCCGCCTCATCCAGCGGAGCTAGAGCCCACATGAGATACAACACCGGCACCCACCCTTGTACCCCTGAAGGCATGCGTCTTGGAGACTCGGTCATTCATCTGGCTAATATTGAGCACCTACGAGTGCCAGGATCTGTTCTGGGATTAAGGGATGAGTGAAGTTTCTGCCTTCAGAGACCATGATCTATCTGGGCAGATAAACAGGCTGGATAAACAGATCCCTAACAGGATGTCAGATAGCAATGAGTGCAGAGAAGTGAGGGCTGGAGGGGCCCAGGTGTTTACTGTTTTAGATGCGGGGGCCTCTGAGAAGGAGATGTTTGAGGTGAGACCTGACTGAAGTGAGAGTGAGCCATGGGAAGGCCCCTGTAGAGGCACAGGGAGCAGAGCACGGCTGAGAGAGGACTGTCCCAGCCCTGATCTTCCAAGTGGTGGCAGGCGGAAGTAGGGCATTGCCCCCAACAACTGGCCCTGCTCTCCTCCAGCTCTGGAGGCCATGTGCAGTGGGTTCAAACCCACAGAACAGAGCTGTCCCCCAGGCCCCTTGTTCTACATGTGAAGCCACAATAGCCACATTCATGTCTCTTCCTGGTGCTCATTTCTGGAATGTTCCCTGTGTGCCTAGCATCGAACCATACATCATTTTCTCATAATTGGAACCCCAACCTGTTGAAGTCATGGTACCCTGATTTTCCAGATACAAAAGCTAAGCTCAGAGAGGTGACAGGACATGCCCAGGTGACCTGTTAGGTCCTGACCCCAGCATCCGAAGCCCTGGCCTTTCCCCTCTGCACTCATGCTGCTCACGGAGGGTCTTAAACTTGACGCTGGTGATTTTGAAGTGGATTGGCCATCCCAGCTTGTGTGTCCAGTGCAGACCTGGGCTGGGGAGGACAGGAAGCACGCTGGCATGCAGTGGGCAGCCAGGCTGCGGTGAGCCAGAGCTCTACAGGACATCAGCCTGGGAAGGGACACAGCGACTTAGCAGTTCCCTGACCTCTTTTGTGGCTGCTCCGAGGGTGGTTTTTAGAAACCTGGACTGGCTGGTGACTCCCCTGGTTGCTCCTTCCGACCTACCCCAAGGTCAGGGGAAAACTAAGACACATCTCCGGGATGTGGGGCAGGAAGCATAGCATCTGATCACCCTAAACAGCAGAGCCAAGGTCAGGTCTATGGGTGTGTCTGTGCAGCGCTTCACAGCTCCACGTCACTCGTGTGCCCTGGCACCTTCCCTGCCCAGCTGCGGTTGGCCTTTCTCAGCCCAGCGCCAGGATGGGGGGTGGACGGTCTGGTTGTTCCATGGAAAGGGCCTCAACTGAGAGCTAGGGACCTGTGGCAGGTCCTACTCTGTGCCTTGTCACTCACTAACTGAGTGGCTAAACCAGGTCTCTAGCTCTCTCTGTAGATTCCTCATCTACAAAATGGGAATAGTAATATCCATTTTTCCTGGCTTCCCTGAAGGTTGAATGAAATTGTGGAAGAGGAGTTATGGGTGTGGGAGGTGCTTGATGAATGTGGGGGTCTGGTGGGGGGAGATGTTGACTCAGGCTCCCTCAACCTCGTCACACAGGAGTGACGACGCCAGAGAGGGTTGCCAGCTTGCCTGGGAAGGACAACACGCCAGGGGCCGAATCCCACGCAG